AGAAGTTTTATTGTGATAAAGTTTAACCAAAAGGAAATTACATAAAAGGTTTTGTTTGCTGGCATTCACCCGCGCTTACCTCCACCGCCCGATTTTGGCTTGACTTGCTGGCGTTATTGTTCGCGCTCGCGTTGGTTTAGTTCTGGTGTGTGCGTGTATGCGTGTGTTCGTTGTTGTCGCCGCTTTTTTTGTTTGTTTTCTTTTGCTATTTTCTGCTCGCCCGCCAGTCCACGTGTGTAGCTGAGTGTCCTTTTGTGGCTAAATATTTCATAAGAAATGCAAAGAATTATTATTATATGCGCTAAAAAGGATGAATGGTTGACAAATAGTACTTGAGTGCGTGTGTGTGTGTATGTGGGTGTGTGTATGTGTGGGATAAGAAGAAAACAAATATGAAAATAATGGCGAAAAAAGGAAAGAAAGAAAACGGCAGTCAAAGTTAAAGATGAGCATTAATCGGAGCAAGCGCTGCTGATAGGCGGTAGTGCTTGAACAAAAAAAAAAAAAAAACAAAAAAGAAATTTTAATGAAATAAAAAAAAGTTGAAAAGTAATTCTCAGCAAATGGAAATTTGGGTTAGGCTTTGACAATAATTTTTTTTTTCGAATTTTTTGCATTTTTTAAGCTTTTTACTTCCTTTTCGTCTTCCACATCGATTACTATTATCCTTTTTTGTTTTTATCTTATCTACATACTTACTTTCTTGCCATCTCACTGGCGCTATTTGCTGAGCAAGCCACTCGCTTTTCAGTTAAAACAACAACAACAAAAAGGAAGTAAAGATTCTAGAGAGATAGTAATCAAAAAAAGTCGCAGAAACAGCAGCAAAAAAGTTGTAATAAAAAAATGGTGAAATTAAAAAAAAAAAAATTCCACAGAAAATAAGCGCAAAAAGTGAATGTTAAAAAACTTAAATAAATTTCGACTTCAAGTCAAAGTCACAGAAAAGTACTCATAGCAACTGTAGTTGAATGCCGCACGGAAAGCAAGCAGCAGCCAAAAAAGAAAGGCTTGCAAGCAAAGCGCAGTCGTTAGCGCATAAGCAGCGAGCAAGGGAGCCAAGCTGCCGTGCAGCCAAACGGCCAAACGGTTAAGCAGTCAAGCAGCCAGTCAGCCAACCAGCCAACCAGCCAACCAGCCAGCCAGCCAAGTTGAAATAGGGAAATGGGCGAAATTAAGAATGCCGCAAGCGAGTTGTGGCAAACTTTTTCACAGCAAAGGACACACACACACACACACACACACACACACACACAGAGTATAGCCAAATTTGTTGGTGGTACGCCGACACAACTAACGCTGGCTGCCACAGTTATGCCAGAGCAACACTTTGTAGACTCCCGCTATCGCACTTGCCCCTGCGATTACAATGCCATCTACTCCTGCGCTTGCAAGAAAAAAAACCCATTCCGCTTATCTTGCGCTGCTCGAAATGTTGGTCCTATAGATAGTTACATATATCCCCAACTACCTACCTACTCCCCTGGACATGTACATATACATATGTACTTTTTTGGGGGACTTCGAGTGTAAATATGCATAGCCAAAACATACAAGTTTGTTTGTAAATATGTATGTATGTGTGTATGTTTGTATGTACATATTTTCGTTGCATATTTTCACAAAATTCATTGCTGGTAATTTACAAAATCAAACGCAATCGAGTCAGCGATGTCGAAAAGCGGGCGGCATGCGGCGTGCAACATTGTCAGAGTCAGGCACCCAGTCGACGCGGCAGGCAGTGGTAGTATAGTCAGCGCATCGGCAAGTTCCCTACTAACGCTTTTCCAGGCATGTGGCAGGCAGCTACTATATACATACATCCATATGTACTTGCACTATATGTATGTAGCTATATCGTAGTTGTAGTCAGTTGCTGTCTACTGCTGGGTAGCTGAGACAAGCAGCGCGTCGGCGAAGTGTCACTGTTTGTGGCAGTTGCTGCAGTGCGCTAGTTGCCGCCGTTTGATGGCTCTCTCTATGTTTCGGTGTATGTGTGAACGGTTGGTTTGACTGTTAGCGCATATTTGTTTAAGGCCATTTGCTGCTTTTCGCTATATACCCTTTATGTGCAGTTACAGGATATTCGTATTGTCGTTGGGGTACTTTATTTTAATGCATGGCGAGGAGATTCTTAAATAATAAAAAAATATTGAAGTAATGAAAAAAAAAACTGGTTTCTTTGTTGACATGCAAATAATATCTTAGGGTGACCGGGCTTTGCTCGGAGTGCATATAATTTTTAGAG